GCGCCCGCTCGGCTCGCACTCACCCCCTCCCGTCCGTCGGAAGGCCTGCCGACGCTGCGCTTGCTGCGCACCTCCCCGCGTCCCACCGGGCAGGTCCCGCGGGTCTCGGCGGCGCGCAGAGGGGCGTAGGGGGAGGGGGGAAGGCTTCTTAGAAGGAGGTCGCTTCTTAGAACGCGCGGGCCTTCCATGTATATATATAGAGAGAGATATAAGCATGTACCAAAATATCTATATCTATACACATATATATATATATATATATATAGATGTGTGTACTGGTAAGGTCCGCGCCTTCTAAGAAGCATGGTTGCTTCTAAGAAGCCTTCCCCCCTCCCCCTGCCCCCCTCTGCGCGTGGCCGAGGGTCAGCGGGCTTGCCGTCCGCAGTGCTCGAGTCCGAGCGGCCGGAGAAGGGGCACGCGAGGCCTCCGCCGCCCCCCGCCAGGAGCCGGCCGGGCGGTCTCCTTCGAGAACGTGGTCATCGACACTGCCCCCTTGACGATGTTCTGAGGCGGCGCCGCTTCGTGTTGAGGGCTGCATCCTCCTCCTCCTCCTCCTCCTGCTCCTCCTCATCCTCCTCCTCCTCCTCCTCCTCTCCTCCGCTCCTTTCATCCTACGCCCCTCCTCCTCTTTCCTCTCCTCCTCCTCTTCCTTCTTCCTCCTCCGCCTCCACCTCCTCCTCCTTCCCCCTCCTCCTCCTCCTCCTCCTCCTCCTCCTCCTTCTCCTCCTCCTCCTCCGCGTCCGCATCCGCATCCGCATCCGCATCCGCATCCGCATCCACATCCTCCCTTCCTTTTCCTTTACATAACTCCTCCCTGTCGCACCCCGAGGCCAGCCGACAGGGCGGGCCCGACATTTCGCCTGAGATTTCCTCACCATGTATGATCCTGAAGCTTGAAATCCCACCAGCCCTCTGGGCGTAGGTGGTTGAGGGCGTTTCCTCTTCCACGCCTCCTTCTTCCCCTTCGGGGAGGTGTTTACCCCTCCCCCTACTCCCCCCCCATGGACCTGGACAAGGGGTTCTGCGAGTCGTCGGAGCGTCCAAAACGGCCTCGGCCAGGAAGCCAAAATCATTGGTGTTACTAAGGTGTTGGCCCCATTTTGGCCTCCTGAGGGGGGGACCCTAATTAGGGACCCCCCCTCCTGTGATCGATCTCGCCCAAGATGGTCCAAAGATGGCCCCCAAGGCTCCAAAGGGCGCCCCAAGAGGGCCCCAAGAGGTGGCCAGGAAGCCCCAAGAGGCCCCCAGGATGCCCCCAAGAGGCTCCCAAGAAACCCCCAAGAGGCCCCAAGAGACCCCCCAGAGGCACCCAAGATGCTCCAAGAGGCCTCGGCGAAAATGCCAAATCGTTGATGTTACTAAGGTTGTAGCCACATGTTGGCTTCTTGGGGGCGGGGCACTGATTAAGATGACTCCAAGAGCGCCTGGGAGAGCCCAAGATGACCTCCAAGATGGCTCAAGATATCCCAAGATGTCTCATAATGGTTCCCACGATGCTCCAAGATGCCCCAAGACCGCTCCAAGACGGCTCCAAGTGGCCAAAGAGCTCCCCCAGGAGGCCCCGAAGAGGCCAAAACCTTAGGAACATCTATGTGTTTGGCTTTCTCGCCTGCTCGCTTCCGATGGCCATCCGAGGCCTCAAGATGGCTCCAAGATGGCCCAAGAGGGCTCCAAGAGAGGCTCAAGAGAGCCCCAAGACGGCCCCAAGAGCGCCTAAGAGCGCTCCAAGAGCGCCCCAAAGAGCGCCCCAAGAGGCGATTGTTTGGGCTCCCGAGGGGCAATGCTACCTAATGATCGCTTATTGTTTGATCGGTGTCCTCCAAGATGGCCCGAAGAGCGCTCCCAAGGATCCAAAGGCTTCAAGAGGGCCCCAAGAGACGCCCAGGAGGCCCCAACAGGCGCCCAAGAGGCCCCCGAGATGTTCCCAAGAGACCCCCAAGAGGCCCCAAGAAGCTCTCCGGGCACCCAAGACGCTCCAAGAGGCCTCCACTGGGGGGCCCGTCCTCTGTGTGCTGCCCACTTCCCTGATCGAGGCAATTCCTCTGGGCATCGTTTCTGAAAGGGCTGGTGGGGTTACTTTTTCGATTGGCGGCTCCAAGGAAGAGTCCAGGAAGCGGGGCAAGCACGTCTGGGGCACAGGCGAGACTGATGGGGTTACGCGAAGCGTCTAGAATGTGCAACAGCTTCACGAAAGGAGGGCGGGTGGTTTTCAAAATGTGGCTCTCGCCTGAGCGACGCGCACATCCGTCGTAGAATACAAGAGCTTCACGGATGGAGGGCGGTCCGCTTTCAGAATGTGGCTCTCGCCATGGTCGCTTCAAAAGTTTCACGAATGGAAGGCGATTGCTTTTCAAATGTGGCTCTCGCCTTGTCGCCGCGCACATTCGTTCTGAGAGCTTATATCCGTTTCAAGGATTACCATGGCTACCGTCCCAGAAATTTGTGTTTTGGCACGATGTCGGACTCTCAGGGCGCAAAAGTGACGTGGATTCGCGGTGTTGAAGTCCCAGGAAAGGCATTCGAGCACGATTCAGGATCGTCAAGACGCGACAGTAATGGCGGTCTGCGGCGTTGGATTCCCAGGATGGGTGTTCTGGCACTGTTGAAAATGTTCAAACAGTTGCCCTCCCACGGGGCACTTCCCTCAGTGAAAATGAACCCTTGTAGGGGCCTATAAAGAAGAAACTTGGAGGGATGGTTCATTGTAACATCGTTGATGAGTCATGGGTTTGCACTGGTTTTCCTCCTCCTCCTCCTCCTCCGCCTCCTCCTCCTCCGTCCTCCTCCTCCGTCCTCCTCCTCCTCCTCCTCCTCCTCCTCCTCCTCTGTCCTCCTCCTCCTCCTCCTCCTCCTCCTCCTCCTCCTCCTCCTCCTCCTCCTCCTCCTCCTCCTCCTCCTCCTCCTCCTCCTCCCCCTCCTCCGCCGCGTTTCTACCCTAACCTCCCTGGAGATCCCTGGAGGTCCCCCGAGGCCCCCGGGGCCTTGGGGCGTCTGTCCGAACAAGAACCACAAAAAACGTCAAACATCTTCCCCTCCGTGGGCCCCCTCCTCCACCCTCCACCCTCCCTCCTCCCCCTCCCCGCCTTGGACTGATCAGACAGCGTAAGGCTGACCTGACCCCTCGAAGCGGAGCCCGACCTCCCCCCGCCCTCCCTCCCTCCTCCCGTCTACAACCGCGACCCCGGCACCTGCCCAATTTTAGGTCAAGTGGTCACTGGGACCAAGTGTGTCTCCATCCGTAGAGGAAGAAACAACTACCTAGGCATAAAGCTTCCGAGCTCCGCGGCGCCGCCAGGGGGGCCCAGCGCCGATCCAAGAAAACTGCGCGGAAGTCCGTTGTTCTTCATCCGCCTCCCTGCCAGCATCCTGATCATGTTCTTGAGTGCCTTGATGCCCGACGCGGGTCGGCGCTTGCAGAGGGCGTAAGTTTGCCTTTGACACTGGGTCCCATGGTTTAGCTCAGCTCCCTGACCGCTCCAGAAGGAGTCGGGAGGAGGAGGAGGAGGCGGAGGAGGCGGAGGAGAAGTAGGAGGAGAAGGAGGGGGAGGAGAAGGAGGAGGAGGAGGAGGACGAGAAGAAGCAGGTGGAGGAGGAGGAGGAGGAGGAGGAGGAGGAGGAGGGGCAGGAGCAGGAGGAGGAGGAGGAGGAGGAGGCCAAGCTCCAAGGCCCCGCAGCTCGGGGAGGGCTCCGCGGCACGCCCCCGCTGCCCCTCGACTCCCTGCCCGCTCGGCTCCCTCCCGGGAGGCGGCCTGCCAGAAGGCGTCCGCGTCAACGGCGCCCGGGAAGCGGCCTCGGCGCGCCGCCGCGGCGGGCGCCCGCGCCCTCGATCGCGGGGAGGCCGCCGGCGGGCCGCCCGAGAGCCACGGCGGCCGCCGAGGGCCACCGGAGGGCCTCCGGAGGGCCTCCCAGGGCGGCCGATAGGGCCGCCGAGGGCCTCCTCCTCCTCCTCCTCCTCTCCTCCTCTCTCTCCCTCCATCCTCCCTCCTCCTCCTCCTCCTCCTCTCCTCTCTCCTCCTCCCTCCTCCTCCTCGTCCTCCTCCTCCTCCCCTCCTCCTCCTCCTCCTCCTCCTCCTCCTCCTCCTTCCTCCTCCTCCTCCTGCCCTCCTCCTCCTCCTCCTCCTCCTCCTCCTCCTCCTCCTCCTCCTCCTCATCGTCCTCCTCCCCCTCCAGTCCCATGAGGGGGAAGGAAAGGGGGGACCAGCTCAGGGGGGGAAACAATGACCTGGAATCGGCAATACATCGCCGCGCCGATAGATCGGCGATAGGCCCCCGATAGCGAAACCCCACGCAGGCTCCTGGGCGGGGTGGGCTATCAGGCCCCATGTCGGCAACGAATGGGCGCTTGGTGGGCGACGCACTCCCCCCGAGCCTAAAGCAGACACATGCGATAAGAACTCTTGCTGTAAAAACTCCAGGGCACTTTGGTCGTCGAGCTTTGAGCTTCCTGAGGTGCCCCAGGGCTTCCATGGGCCCAGGAGTGCCATCGGGGGATAAGAAACTTCCGCGGGGCACTGGCTGGCAGGCGTTCCCCTCAGTCATCGTGCTGCCATAATCGGCGGCGAGCGAGGGGGAAGTGAGAAGGAGAAGGCCTTCTCGGAAGGTTCGGAAGTCCCCTGGCCTTCTGAGAAGTTTTCTGAGCCTTCCCCGAAGCCAGCAAAAAAAACTCCTGAGAAGGCGCAAGGGCTTCTGAGAAGTCCCGCCGCCCTCTGAGACAGCCTTCTCCTTCTCGTTTCCCTCCCTCGCTCGCCGCCGACATAAGTCGGGGATCTTCTGACCCAGGTCAGTCCAGACCCGGGTCAGCAGGAAACCAAAAAAACTGCAATGCAGGAAAAAAAACTGCAGCGCAGGGCTTCGCAAACCCGGGTCAGCCAGCAGGCGCGGCCGCCCCGCGGCCACGAGCGGCTCGCTAACCCGGGTCAGCCAGAGGGGGTCTTCGCAGGATCCTGCAGGATCCGGTGCCCTGGCTGACCCCCCTTGGCGTTGACCCCCGTCTCGAGGCTCCCGAATCAGGAGCGCTGGACAGGGTGGGGCGATGGGGGCCTCCCGGCCACGGCAAGGCCTCGGCCACGAGCAGGGGGCCCGGCACAAAGGGCCCGAAACTCTGAGCCCCTCCGGAGAACGACCACGGCGCCGGCGGCCGTGCGCCGTGCGCCGTGCGCCGGCGGCCTCGGGCCCTCGTCCCGAGAAAGGACCACCAGGACTCCGCCGTCCTCGTCATGGCGTTCGCGGCGGGCGGGGAGCTCCGTGGCTACGTCGAGAGGCGCCGCCCGTCGGCCTGTTTTTGCTGCATCGGGCTTGCTCGTTTTGTCAATTTTATTGCTACGAAAAAGAAAAATATAAGGAGGGAAAACAACACGGCAAGCGTGTAAGACAAAATGTTGCCGGATCGGCTCGTCTACTGTCAAGGCATTGCATCTCTTTCTCCCGCCGCGGCAACTCGGCCCCTGCCACAATGCCTATCGGCGGCGGAGAAGCCTGGCAACGGGCACCTGCACAGCAGCAAAGCCTGCCCGACGGACCCTGGTCCGTCTGGGCTTCGCTGGCGCGGAGAGGGGTAGACGGGGGATGCCGCCCGACTGGCGTGCGCCGAGGCTCTGGCCCGCCAGGCCCACGATCGCGATCTCCGGCGCGCCCTGCCCGGGGGCCTGGGGCAAGGCGCGACGGCCCCGCTGGCGCCCGCCAGGGGCGCCGCTGGACCTCGGGGGGGGAGACGGGCGACAACCGACGGCGGGCGACGGCGACGACGAGCAGGACGACGATGGGCAGCGACGACGACGAGGACGAGTAGGACGACAACGGGCAGCGACGACGACGACGCGTAGGACGACGGGGACGACGACGGGGACGAGGACGAGGGCGGCGGCGACCAGAGGACGACGGTGAGGACGACGATTACCAACACCAACACAAAACGATGACGACGAGGGCGAGGCTGACGAGGACGCGGACGAAGATGGGGATCATCATTACAGGGCGAAGAAGGCGGAGGCATAGGAAAAGAAGAACAAAAGCGTGAACAAGAACGAGAACGATGATGAAAACGAGAACGAGGGACGAGCGAAAGAAGAGAAGGGAGAAGAAGAAGACACATCAGAGTGAGGGGGTCGAACGGTCATTCACTGTCCCTGGGTGCGTGGCTGAAGTGGGCTTCCACGATGCGGATTGTGGTTATTGTTGTTACTGCTGTTGATGATGTTGCTTATTGTTTCTTGTCGTCGTCCCGCCCGCCACCCAACCCGCGACCCGGCCCGCGACCCACCCGCGACCCACCCGCGACCCACCCGCGACCCACCCGCGACCGACCCGCGGCCCACCCCGGGACCCACCCGCGACCCACCCGCGACCCACCCCGCGACCCACCCGTGACCCACCCACGACCCACCCGCGACACACAGCGCGACCCACCCGCGACCCACACGCGACCCACCCCGCGACCCGCCCGCGACCAACCCGCGACCCACCCGCGACACACAGCGCGACCCGCCCGCGACCCACCCGCGACCCAACCCGCGACCCACCCGCGATCACCCGCGACCCACGCGCGACCCATCCGCGACCCACCCGTGACCCACCCCCGACCCACCCGCAACCAATCCGCAACCCATCCCGCGACCCACCCGCGGCATACAGCGCGACCCACCCGCGACCCAACCCGCGCCCGCCGCCTCACTCTTATCTGCAACTGCTGGGTACTGCATATTTTTGTTTTGGCTCCACGCTCAGGCGCCTCCCAAACCAGCCAAGATTAGGCTGGCAACAGGCCTGCTACTGCGGAGGGAGAGGCAGCAACCTGAGAGGCGCCGAAACCCAGGGGAGTCCGGCGCCGAAAAGGCATGAAAGGGCCAGCCTCAAACGAGTGAAGCCCAGCCTTGAAGTCAAGGAAGAGCTTCGGCGGGATTGAGACAAGCCCCCTGCACCGCAAACGTCAGTCGGAGTCGTCAGGCTCCGCAGAAAGGGTGGCAGCGACGAGCTAGAGGTTATCTTACCCCTCTAAGCCTCTCTCGGAGGGCTTCGACTACCACAAGAGCTGCATTCTGCCGCCAAGCACGGAAGGAGCGCTGGCCACGGCACCGACATCAGGCGTGGCTAGGGGTGACCCCTGAAGGTACAGCGCCGCCCCCGCCCTGCACAGAGACCTCATGCCAAGAAGGATCAGCCTGTGGCGGGTTGCCCGAAAAGAAAGTGCTGACGCACCGGATGCAGTTGTCAGTGTCAGCTGTGATCCCGCGCGTCTGCTTACTCTAATGGGGACGCCGAGCTTTACATAGGGCAAGCCAACCATAATGAGCAGCGCGGGAAGGAGGAGTGCATGTGGCAGTTAGGCTTCTGACGGAGCCTCCCGAGCAATGGCACTTGCACCGCAGACAGATAACAAAGAATACACACAGAACGGTCAGAGCAGTCAAACGCCACCGTGCCATGGCCAAGAGTCTTGACGCGAGGCGCGCAACCTGGAGCCATTCGGACAGATACCCGCAGGAGGCCTGGAGAACGAACGCTTCCCACGGAGACAAACCGAACACCTCCACACCCCAGACCACCAAACCCAGCTATGCTCCTCGTGAGAGGGAGCAGTGGTCGAAGGATCCCTGTCGGCTCCACCGAGGTCAACGTTAGGCCACATGTGCAAAATGCATGCTGCCTGCTTCAAGGTGGCAGTGGCTCGTGCGACATTGGCGCCAGCCGCAACAAGAAGCCTTGGATCGTTCGGGCGCAGGCCAACGGCATGCAGCATGCTTGGCGCCGACATTGGCCTGCCAGTTTCCTTGACGCAACCACTTCTCGTGCGCGTCAATCCCAGCCTCGTCGAGATCTCGATGAGCGGCGACATTCACACAAGAACAGACAAGGCGGTGTGGAAGTTCCCCTAACCACCCACTCAGGGTTCAGGGGGGAGTCCTGGGCCAGGGGGGAAAGGGGGTAGGGTTGGATTGTTTGTTGAGGGGCGCCCAAGTAGAAAACAATACTGTCATCTGAAACCTCTCTGAAAAAACATCCTAGAACCCCCCCCTCAAGGAGATTTTGTCCCAAACACTCCCCTAAAACCTCATTAGAAGGGATTCGGGAAATAGTTCGGACAGCTGTTCCCCTCTACCCCCTCCCCTTCAAGGAAGGTTCTGGAAAGGAGTAGGGAGGTTTTTCCTGGCCAACCCCAGAAACTACAATTCGGGGGACACCCCCTGGAAAACCCCTCCTCATGCCCCATGCGTGGGGGGGATGTTTACCCCCCGGACCCCCCTCCCCAGGAAGAGTTTTAATGGGGCTGGGGGGGGCTCCCCTTTAGAAGGTTGTTTTAGTGTGGAAGGTTTAGGGCGATTTCCCCCCCGACTCCTCAGCAGGCAATTGTTTGGGAGGTTTAGGAATGATTGATGAAAGGTTTTTCCCCCGGACCTCCCCCCTCAAGAAATGCCCCCTCAGAGAGGTTTTTAGGGGCTCTTGAGGGCTCTTGGGGGGTACGTGGGTTTTTCCCCCAGAACCTCCCCGCAGGAGGGTTTTGCGGATGGTCAGGCGGGTGAAAAAGATGTTCCCTCGAAGTTCCCCCTCAGGGAAAGTTTTTGGAGGGCGGCAAACGAAGGTTAGGAATGTTTTTTCCCCTGAGCCCCCATCAGGAGAGGTTTCTGGAGGGGCTAGGAGGAGTTAGGGGGGCTTTCCCCCCAAATGGGAGTCCGGGGGGGGAACCTCCATAACACCGCCTAACCTGTCAACAAAAACCCTGAGAGGGTGATTCCGAAGTAAAGCTCCCCTGGCCCCCCCAAGCAAGCCCCCCTCTTGAGGGGGAGGTCCGGAAGGAAAACGCCCTACCAGTTCCCCGCCAACTCCCAAAAAAAATCCCTGAAAAGGGGGCCCAGGAGAAAAAACGCCCTGATCCCGTCGAAAAAACCTTGAAGGGGGGCTCGGGGGGGACCCTCCCCAGGAAAACCCTCCCTGAGAGGGGGGCCCGAGGGCAAAGAAACCGAACCCTCCAACAAAACAAATGAGGGAAGTGGGAAAACCCCCATAACCCCCCTTGAGGGGGATTCTAAGGGGGTTTTCGAAGGGGGGGGGGGGGGGGGGAAACTGCCACGCCCTACTGAGAGCAGATGCCCGAAATGCGCATATGATTCTGGAAGAAAACACCCGAATACGTGCGTTTGGGTGACAGCTACTCGGGGTTCGACCTGTTAGCCAACTTAACCACATCTCTGCAATCAGAATACAGTCGGGGCGTTGCCCTAAGGAACCCTAAATAAGGAACGAGGTCCCTTTCTCCCAAAAATTAATATTCGACTTCCTATGGAAAACCTTTGGGGAACCTAAGGCAAATTGCACAACAATCAAGGAACACCGAGCACCTCACAACGAAAAGGGTTCCCTCTTCAGGGCCCCGACTAGGCGGTGGAGTGGTCGAACCTACCCGAGAGAACACTGACCCATGCACGCACGAAACTCAGCCCCATCGGAGAAGTCTGGGGGTGAGGGCCCCAGACGGGGAGCCTAAACACCGCTACAAAAAGTCACCCTGGGGGGCTGTAATACAGTCGGGGCGTGCACCTAAGGGACCCTAAATAAGGAACGAGGCCCATTTTTTCCATAAGTTAAACTTCGATTTCCGATCGAAAAACATCAGGAAAACCTGAGGCAAGCTGTGAAGCACTTAAGGAACGCGGAGCCCCTCCCCAACGGAAAGGGTTCCTTCTTCAGGGCCCCGACTGTACAAACACAGCTCGCAGCCCCAGACGGCTCCTTGACGGTCAAGGAGCTGTCTAGGCACGTGGTCTAGGCTCGACCACGTGCCTAGAGCACGAGCCATCCATGAAAAGCGACCCCTAAGGCCAGCCCCCTCCCATCACATTCGAGCTCCAACGACTCCCTATGGCACACAATGAAAGGACCTTCGTCGGTTTTCGTGAGGGGAAGGGGGGATCCGTCGGCGGGGTGCCGAAAAGCTCCTGAAGAAATGCGAAGAGGTCTTGGAGATGGGAGCCATCGCCATCCTCCAACAGGGGTCTCCGTCGAGGACGGCGGCCGACGTCAGCGAGCTAAGTTTGCAGACGGGCCTGACCACGGAAACAAGTGTGCGCCTAAGAAGCAGACTGACCGTGCAATCGACATCTAAATTGACAGCTGAATCCGAGAAAGTGCCTCCCAGATGGCTGGGATGAGAGCATCCGGGACCTCGACACAGGCAGCCTTCGAGCTGGCAAACGAACAATCGAAATCTCACTAGCATTGTCGTAAAGAGCCACGGATACCTTGACGGCCGAAGAGACCACACCCGACGCCTTGCCCGTACATGGCAGCCCTTGGTCGTCGATGTACATGTCGATGTCGAGACGCGGAGCAGACCGCAGCTTGTCGTACCCATCAACACACAGAACGCACGAATGATGGTGGCCATAGAACAGCCAGTGATCACGAGGTTGGCACAAACGTAGGAGCCTTGCAGCCAGCCTCCGAGGTACAGGAAGCGACCGCAACGATGGGCATAGACACTGAGCCTGGCAATGACCATGGGGAAGCGATGCTTGCTGCAACGCTCTTCGAACTCAGACCAAAAAATATGGCCGTAGAACTTCCTGAGATCAAACAAAACACTGCGTGACGCTTCCTCTTTGCGAATGCCACTTTCAGCTTGCACCGACTACCGCAACACGACGTCAGCAGCTCCCCTAAACTGGCCAGCCCAGTACCGTCTGGGGTGTTCCAGTCCAAGGCCT